ATGGCATCTGAAGTTTTTGGCTTGGTTTTCACCCTTATTGTACTTCAGGCTAGCATATCTCTTCTAGCAGTCCTATCAGGAGAAAAAAAACATGAATGTTGCATAACAAAACAGTATTTAATATGAAAATAGATCGTTGATTAGTTGTAACTATCAACCAAGGAAATCGTCGAGCTGTGAGAATATTGTTAATAGTGATCATGTAAAATGAAATCTCAAAACTTTAAATTTCACATGGATATTTCAGATGGCAGGAAATGAGATGCAGACAAAATAAAAGAGGTATTAGCTATTATCTTCTGATTGATAATCTGCTTATGAAAATGTCAAGTCCAAGAAAAGCCTTGAGATAATGTGGACAGGCTTATAAAAGAGGGCCTTTGTGCATGTGGAATGCTCTGAGAATATAAGGTACTGCAGATGACCACTGATTTTTATAGATTTCTAGGAACAGGTGGAAAACACATCTCTTAGCCTAGCCACTGCTTGTATGTCTCAGAAAGTACTCCTGAGGAGTCTGTTTTCCCTGCCTTTCATAATTTGTGTTTTACTATTATCTGTTCTGAGAATTGGGCTTCTCCAGGAAAAATACTGCTTTGAGCCTTTATCTCTGTATGGATGACCTTAAACAGTAATTCAGGCAGATAAAATATGCTGGCTTTGACATAGATTGATAGGAACTTTTCATATGAGATCTCCATTAACTTTGGTCTAGACAATATTACTATTTGATCATCACCTAGGGCATACACATAAAAAGGGAAGTCTAAGGTTACCGTTAGAGAAAACACTGAGACAATATCACTGAAAGCAAACTATAGATACCTGAGTATTTTTGATAATGGCTTCATTCACAATATTGTTGTTAAAAAGGTGGCATATATGAAGTGGCACTGTCAACTCCTGAAATTCAGTCTCCACAGAAACACCTTCTTTTGAGTAATTAATGCCTAAATATTAATTTGACTTGACTTTAGTAAGACTTTCAACATTGTCTCTCATAACACCCTCACAGACAAGCCGATGAAGTACAGACAAGATAAATAGACATTCTAAATTAATTGGAAACTAGCTGAACTGCCAGACTCAAAGGGTTGAGATCAGCAGCGTGAGGTCCAACTGGAGGTCAGGCAGTAGTGTTGTGCCCTAGGGCTTGATCCCAGGACCGGTACTGTTTAACCTCTTCATTAGTGACCTGAATGATGGGACAGAGGGCACCCTCAGCAAGTTTGCAGAAGATACGAAATTGAGAGGAATGATTGATAGACCACATGGTTGTGCAGCCATTCAGAGGGACGTCAACAAACTAGAGAAATGGTAAAATTGGAATTTTATGAAGTTTGATAAAGGAAAATGCCAAGTCTTGCACATGGGGGAGCAATAACCAGTACAGACTGGGTGATGACCAGCTGGAAGGCAGCTTTACAGGAAAGGACCTGGTGATTCTGGTAGACATGCACCAGCAATGTGTACTTGGGGCAAAGAAAGCTAACAAAATCCTGGGGTGCATTAGGCAGAGTGCTGCCAGCAACTTGAGGGGGAAGGCTATTGTCTTCCACTCAATGTTGGTGACTGAGAGCGCACCTGGAGTGCTGTGTCCAGTTCTGGGTTCCCCAGTACAAGAGACATGGACTTACTGGAACAAATCTGCCAAAGGCTTGGGCCATTTGTCATGTGAGGAGAGACTGAGAGTTGTGACTGTTCAGTCTTGAGAGAAGGCTTGGAGGGGTCTTGTCGATGGGTATAAATACCTGATAGGAGAGAGTAAAGAAGTCAGGCCAGGTTCTTCTTAGTGCCCACTGAAAGGGTGAGAGGCAGTGGGCACAAGCTGAAACTCAGGAGGTTCCATTTCAACATAAGCAAAAAAAATTTTGTTTTACTGTAAAAATGATGGAACACGGCACAGGTTGCCCAAAGAAGTTTAGGAGTCCCCATCCTTGGAGATATTCAAAATCAAACTGTGCACCAGCCCTGAGCTCTAGCTGACCCTGCTCCGAGCAAGGCACTTGAACCAGATCATCTCCAGAGGTGCCTTCCAACATCAACTGTGATTCAATGGAATATCTTGGTGTTATATTGTTAGTATTGGAGATCAGACAATGACAGAACTGAAACAATTAACATGACTCGGTACATACTAACTCTGTTTTTCTCGATGAAGGGAAAGGGGTTAAGACTATCAAAGATATCGGTAATGATTCGAAAGAGTCTAAGAAGGGTGCAAGCATAAAACAGACCTGTAGTCAGTTAGTTCAAATTTAAAGTATTTTTTTAAGAAAAATGACAGCATGATTAAACAATACAATAATAGCAGATAAATACATCCTTCAAAAGGTGGGATTTGCATCTAAATGAGAAAACAGAAGAAACCCCTTGCACTCACAAATCAAAAGCATAATGTCACAATGCACCAAAATATTTTGGGAGAGAACTAACAAAGATATAAAAACTAGCAATAAAGCTTGTACAAATTGACTAGAAGGAAGATGCGTCTTAGAGGGATGCTATTAGGTGATTAAAGTCATAAAAGAAAAGCAAAATGACTTATTTTTGTGTCAGAAGACAAAGCTACGTAACAAATCACTGAAACAACTGTGAAGAAATTGCCCACATATGAATAAATAGTATTTGCCCAGGTCTTGTTCTAAGTGAAAAATAACTAAAATCTGAAATTGTGGTACTGTTACTTTTGGTATTTAATGTGTATCCTTTGTACTAGAGGAATGGAGGGTAGAAAATTTCATATTCAAAAAGAAATACATCAGTAATTACAGGCCAGAAAGTTTGTCTTCCATGCTGTGTTAATTGGTAGAGGAAAAAATAATGTGGATAAGTGTGACAGTAATGGTGGAGAATCAATGTGACTTGTGTAGAGGAAAGTTCAGTCTCTGAAATCTGTCTGAATTCTTTAGAGGAGTCAGTGAGCAAGTGGATAATGGTGATCTGGTTGATCGAGTTATTTAGCTTTTTCAAAAGTTTTTAGGCCAGGCCCTTCACTCACATAAACACTAACAGCTAAAAAGAAATTTCTCTCCTGGCAATAATGTCTGGTTATAAAACAGAAAGCAAAGATGAGAAAACCAATTACTGTTTGGATTTTGTAACTGAGAGAGGTTGCCAGTGGAGTGTCATGGGGTTTTATTCTGCAACCTGTCATCCAGTCTATCAGAATTAATGTCAATACTTTCAGGGAGATGGCAGCCAGTTACTAAGTAGGCAAAAGTGTATAAATACAAAATCTCGAATTCCAGAAATAAAAGGCAAAACACTGTTACTAGCAAATGCATTATACATGTATGTGTTGAATGCCATTAACAGTTGCGGTGTTTCTGTCTCAACAAAGGTACACTTGAACTACACAAAAGCACGAAGAAAGACAACAAGAATAGGCAGAGTGGCTTCTGTATTAGGAAAGATCAAAGACAGTCGGCTTCTTCATCCCCAAAAGGAAAGGGCTATGAAGAGGAATATTGTAGAAACTTGCAAAACAATGATGCAGAGAAGGCATATGGGTGTCATGTACTTCACTGTTTCTTATGGTGAATAGACTGTGGAGGACAAATAAAATTAGCAGGTGATAGTTTTAAAACAAAGAAAAGGCACAACTATTTATATGACCATTAAACTGTGATACTTGTGTCTCAGAATATTAAGGGTGGCTAAAATACAGATGGCTTAAAAAAATCATTTGCCAAATTAACTGGTGGAAAATTTTTCTTGGACTTTTTGAACACAAAGATAAAATCACTAGCTCACCAGTTCTCTAGGTTGTAGAGTGCTGGAGGCTGGGAGGGAATACAAGGAAAGCTGAATGGTCTGCTTGCTCACACCTGTTACTGGCCTTTGTTGGAGACAGGATGCTGGGCTAGATGGGTCTCTGGTCTGACTGGAAACGTACTTTGTACTACCTTCCTCTTCAACGAAGTTAAGTTGATGGAAACCAAAAAAAACACCTCCAAATACTTTGCAGTTTCTAATGGCTTTGAAGTCAAATGTACACAAAAATGGTGATCAAATACATATAGGAGTTTCTGAATTTTAGCATTCTTTTTCATATTTTTCGTAATACAAACTGCATGTTGGAAATGTTGTTGCTTATAAACCAGTTAAATTTCTGTGTTTAATTCAAGGTTGTTGGTAACTTCAGGTGTATTATTCTAGCATATAATCTGTCCTGTATGTGCCATTAAGGGCAGAGTCTGCAGTGATGTATGAAGATTTAGGGGCAAGCCTTGATTTTCAAAGGAGAGAAAAAAAAAGGAAGGGGGAACTCTAGCTATGCTGGCATTATGATAAGCAAAAGTCACATCCAGTTCTGTGATAGTTGTGACAAACAAGGTACTTCCCAGCAAATTGCTGACCTGCTCAGGCCTCTGACTTCTTGAACACACTTGGATTTCAGTGATCTGTGTTTTCAGCACAAAACTGCTTTTAATAGGAAAGTGCCCATTGAATATTTTGGACAATAGTAGTGAATCTAGTCTATACAAATGAGTAGAGATCAGACCAATTTCAGTCTGCTCTTGTGCCAATCTGTCATTAAATTCTAGGAATTATCGTTGAATTATAGTTCATACAATTACTTGTGAACATAAGAGAGTGAAAATGGAACAACATAATAGCATCTTTGGTGTTAGATCAATGTAAATAAATAACTGAGATTTAAAACCCTTACTTCATATTTCATTTCTTACTAAACTTCATCTGAGATCAATACTTGTGTTTATTTTTCTCTGGAGGACTAACAGGCTTTACTAAAAATTACAGTTTTATCCCTTCACCAAATATTTGGCCAAACTCAGGAGATATGTCAGTGCTTGAGTCATAGAGCTTACCTGGAAGATAATGTTCCGTCCATGCAAGGATACAAATGTGCAGAAGTAGAGAAGTATGAAGGTGGCTAAAGGGACTTTCAGTCATCTCTTAATTCTTCTGTCTGTCTCTCATATGGGTAGAATGAATGAACTGTGTAGAATGGGTAAAATGAATGTTCCTGTGATAAGCTGAGCTTTTTGCCTCCTTACAATCTAAAAAGATTCGTTAAGATGTAACTTGGACGACTGTGACACTATTTGGTTTAATTCTTGTTGCTGAGTCATTATTAAGCAGAATGACTTATGGTACAGTAAGCTGATTATATTTTCTTTACAAAGGAGCTTTGTTCCATGACTTGTTCCATGACTTGTCCCGTGCCTCCAGCTTGTCACACCAAGCATGAAGTTGGACAGTGTCTTCAGGTTTTCAGACCTGCTCGAAGCTGGAGAGACAAGTTAAGCACATTAGCCAGGCAGCCTGTTAACTGTTAATGAAACTTGGATCTTGATCTTGCAGACTGTTAAATTGTGCGATGTGCCTCATGGAAGATGATGAAATTAGTTAAATTTAAAAACCTACCAAAAATATGAATTTAGAAATTGGGATACTAGTATCGTATTTTGCCTTATTTTTGAACAAGTCAGAGGAGGGAGAAGAAAAAAAGCCTCCTCTTTGTTCATTTTCCTTCTAGCACACTCATGACATTTTTGAATATTTGCTCCAAATAATTTCCTTGCTTGACAACTGACTTGTATGTATCTTCAGGCCCTTATTTTTCAGCAACATGTGCCTCTGATGTAGCTATTAGAGGGCTTTTAAGTAAAACAAATAATATACATTTTAAAATATATGCGGCATAAATATACATTGTAATAATATTTTTAAATAATTTGTATTGCTATCTTAAGTGATTAATCTACTGTATTTTAAAGATAAATACATTGATATTGAGAGACTGCACTACTCCAGTATCTAGTAGTTTCTGTATGTATCACAGATACTCTATAGGCCTAAAGTGCGAGGACAGAAGACAGTTTTTCTATATTAAAAAATAATTTTAAATCCAAATAAGCTTAAAATTTTTTAATGGGTAGAATTTTCAGAAATCCTTGAGTAATGTTTAAGAGCGAAAGGCTTTTTTAGAAGATTCCATTTCTCAAGTGATGTTAGTCCTAAAGAGTCTATGAAGAGGGTGAAAACTGCCAGATTTGTTGGAAGATTTCTTTCTGTATGAGAGGTCAAAAATGGAAGTGAACACTGTATCATTTCTAGCCGGCCGAGTGGGGATTATATCATGGAAATACTTCAGCTAGTACAAGATCATGGTAAGCTAGGGAACTGAATTGACAAAGGCAAGGGAAGGGTCCTTTTGTTTTTTTTTTAAAGCAACCACAATATGTTAACACCACAGAGTAACCAAATCCTCTTCCTTGTACAACACCTGTGTTCATAGTCTCTGTGCATAGCTGCTCAAAAGAAACTTCTTCTTGTGTTTGGTTCCAAAGCCACAGGATGCTCTTACACGTGTGACAGAATTACATAGTCTCTTGTCTTCAAGACTTGCTAGATGTACAAGGAAGTGTTCAGGTTTTCCCAGAATCTTCATATGGGATGAGATCATAATTATATTTGGAAGTCAATTATTCTTTCTTATTTTTCAATAATTTCTCAAATTGTTATTTAAAAAATTAATTTCTTCAAGTAAATAGTGACTTATGTTAATATTTCTAACTCAGTGTAGATCTCAACCTAGATTTTTTTTTTTTTTTGCTGAGAAGTGGGAGTCTACTGCAGCACACAGGAAGGCTCAGTATAAATCAAACTTCTTTCCTTTTTTTTTGTTTGTAGTTTGATCCTTTATTGATTGAAAGCAAAACAGCAGCGACGGTTGTGCTGATGCTTAGCTCTCCTGAAGAGGAAGTTTTGGCCAAAGCATGTGATGGTCTATATAAATTTGCATCAAAAGGTTAGTCTTTTTGCAATGAGCTTTCCTTTGTGTTGCTTAGATTTTGATAGTATTTCACAATTTTTTAGTTTCCCAGCACTGAAATCTTCATTTCATCTCAAAGGTTTCTATCAAGGTTTTGAGGCTGTTTCTGAAATATCTGTCAAACCTGTATTTGCAGTTATAAAGAAGTCCTGTGGTTTGAGTGAAGGAATTTTTAATCATTTTGTTGTAGAATTTTGTATTCTCTGTTTAATAGAGTTTTGTTTAGATATAACCTAAATCTGTTTTGTTATGAGCAACAGACCTGCATCTGGGAAAAAATTGTTTTTTATGTTACAGTTTGAAACTTCTGTACTAGTGTAGTTATTTTAAGGTTCAGTTTTCAATGAAAATTACTTTTTAGCCTGTGTGTGTTATTTTTGTATATATCTTGTGTCAGTACTTCTGTGACAGATGATTTATTGGAGACCACTCAGCCTCCTTTATGAAGATTATTTCTGTATGTGTTGGGAATCTAACGAGTCTCCAAGATTCCAAATCTTCCAAAGAGCCCTGTATTATATATAGCTAAGCATCATGTTCCAGGTAGCCAGAAGACAACTGTATAGCAAAGGCTCAAAATTATATAATTTCCTAAGTTGCCTCCTACTCTTTCTGTACCAGCCACTCAAATTGGTATATGCTGGTAGCTTTCTTGGTATAATTAATGTATTTTAATATTAATTTCCATTTAATTTGTGTTTTCTTTAAAAATTATGTTTTTGTATGCCGATTGTTGTACTGATGGCAGTTATCGATACTGCTGAAGTTGTGAGAGAAGAGCTGAAGGCTTTGACAGTTGGCATGGGATCATTGGGTTCTGAAAGATGTTTATGTTCAGCTTAATATGGCAAGCATGCCTGGGGGCGTGCAACCAAATTTTGGATATGCGGGGAGAGAATTTGGACTGTTGGGAGACAGCTATGAACCACACACCATAAATTCTTCTTGGCTCCTTCCCTGAAGTCCACAGTAGCATATGGCACACTGCAAGAGGACAGATATTTATTTTTTCTGTTTCTACTAAATGAATAATCCTTTAAATTGTTAATGTAGATATTCCTGTAATCTTCCAGAAGACTAGACTGTAACTTTGCAGTGTGGCACAAGAGAAGGAGTTGTTTTCACTTTGCAGTTAATTTATTTATTGAATGTTGCTAGTAAGTTAAATCCCATCCCTCAATAAAAAATAGTTCTTGTATTTTAATTGTGTTTTGGCCTGAGAATGAGCATAGTTCTCCAGCTTTTTCTCACATTGCTCACTTGTAGCCAGAAAGGACAGGCATGATTCATTAGAAAATGAATTATAAAGCTGTTGTGGGAACTGAGAATAGAAGTGGATTTTGGATTTTGCTTCTTGCATTTTGGGTGTTTTTTGAGTGAGCAGAAACAAAACGCTTCTGTTCTTTGCATGGCCAGACCCTATGCAGTACAAAGTGCTCCATTCTCAGGTGGTAGAAAGCTGAGGTGGGATTTAATGATCCAAATCCTGATACTTGCCTCAGTTGAGGGGTAGTGCAGATCCACAGATTGAATTAACTGTTATTTTGAGGAAAATAAAATTGGGAGGCAAGAAAAGAGGAGAATAAAATGAGGTTCTAAATGATATCATTCACCTGTACTTCACTAAATATAAAGCTGTCCTTTGTACTACCACTGCAGTCTCCAGCAAATGAGTTGGATGTGGGTGTCCGATACACAGAAACATCCTTTGCTTTACAATTGTGAATTAATCCTAGATACTATTAATCCTTGATACTATTTGATACGTGTTTATTTGGGGTATAGATTAGACAATCTCCCAAGGTTCTGTCGAGGCCTTTGTTCTTTGGTTCTACAGTCCAATAAAAGATTGATAGCTGTTGTACTTTGTTATGTTAGAACTGTGAGCTTGTGGCGTTTTTACAGAACTTTTAACGTAATTACTCTTCAGGTGATGAGAACAAAGTCACACTTCTTGGTCTTGGAGCAGTGGAACATCTCTATAAACTCATCTTACATGAAAATCCAACTGTACGCAGAAATGCCATCATGACATTTGGTATCATGGCTTCTAATCGTAAGAGTCTCAATATTTTAATGTTTTTCAATGGGTATGAGTGTGGTCATCAAAGTAATAGGTGGCCCATGTGAAAAAATCCTATATTAATGGCCCAGAATAAAGGAACAAATTCAACTAGAGTGAACTGCACTGTTTTTGAAAAAGAATTACAAGACAAGTTAATTTTCATCCAGCCTTCATTTTTCTTTTGAAACAGTTTAATACTGGATTTATGACTGTCAGGGAAAACCTGACTACATAAGATGCCTGCCAATGTGGATGTGACACACTCTTCTCTTTTACAAATGTTCGAAGAGAAGGATAAAGTGGTGTTTATCATCTACAGAAAATGCTATGGTTAAATATCAGTTGTTACTTGAGGCATTAGTGTAACTACAGTGGTAAGGGAGAAAATGTGTTAAAGTAGCTAACTCAAGTATTGATGGCAAAAAAAGCCCTGAACTATCAAGCATTGGCATGCCTATTTACCCAGCTTCTTTGGCAGGTCAGTGCTGCTGTAAATGTTTTGTTATCTGTATCAGAGCTAGTTAAATTCAAGCGGTCTTGAGTATCTCTCAGAGACATTGCATTCACGGCAAGATGGTGTATCTACTGTAGTCATACCATTATTGAATGATTTAACCACAGTGCATGCAGGTTTTCTTGTACCTTTTTATAAGGTGAGAATGAATGTATTACATCCATGCTGGGTGGCTGAGTGCCAGGTGATCAAGCTGCAGTGAGTGGTGTGTAGACATACTTAAAGATGAAAGAAGTGACATAAGGTTGAGTTTCAGTGGCTATTATTTTTACATTGCTTTATAAACCTACATCTAATTATTGTAATTAATCAGGTCTGATTTTGGTAGATGTTCTACCCAGTTGTCTTGCATGGTGATATCCTAACCGCTGTTTCTTTTCATCAGCTGTTACCTGCTTTTCGTGTTGCATTGGACCTTACGCTTTTTACCTTACTTTCAACTCAGCGTTAGCATATAGTTGTTCCCTTCAGACCTCAGCTTCCAGCACTGCTGCACAAACATGGATTTGAACGACTGAAGATCTTCCATGCATATTCTCATCTTCATTGTTTTTTTTCTTTAAAATTATATTTGGCTCATACCTTTTTTCTTACATTTCAACACTGTAAATGTTGATAGTAACAACACAGCCCTGTAACATCAAGTGGTCTGTCCCAGTGAATGTTTTTTGGTTATTCTATCCAGTCGTCGTGGTTTTGCTAGTTTGCCATTGACAACAATAAATATGCATTCTGAAAATCTTTACTGTGATTAAAGACGCATCTAATTCATGTTTTCAATTTGCAATGTGGGCTGTGTTAGCATAAAATTAGAAAGTAATGGCTTGAAAATTAAAGAATGGAAGGATTCCTTTTAGTTTGATAATTTTAACCACAGTTTTAATTATTGGGGTAAGACTTCTTTGACAACTAAAACTGTGAACTAATTAGAACCTGCTAGATGCAAGTATTTTGATGAATTTTCAATGAAGTATTGAGGAACTTTGTCTACGTCAAATGTCAAAGAATGTTGTCTGCTACTTGAAAATCTCCTGTATGTTTTCTGGGCTCATTATGATCTTGGTATAACTTCAGTTGTGTGTCATTCTCAGTCAGATATTTTTGTCACTCAGAGAGTAACCGTAAGTACATTTCCCTTGAAGTAGAATCTGTTTCTTTACTCAGCCAAGATTGCCAAACAGAAGTCTTCATATTTGTATTTATTTCATTGTAGATGACGTCAAGAAGTTACTGAGGGAACTGAATGTCACAAATTCACTTATATCACAGCTGGCGCCGGAAGGTAGCTTGCTGTATTCATTCCTTGTGCAAAAATACACTCAGAAATAATTTATGGTTGCCATTTCACTGGACAATTTAATAAAATTTTCCTTGTAACTTATGATTTGTGATACTACATGTTAAATAGGTAATTGCTTTTATAGAAGTAGTTCTGTTACTCACTGAGTAGTGTTTTCTGATGTATAGATGGAGCAACATATTTATGGAGATGTCAGGTATGATTAGCAGCTATTGTTTATTGACTTCAAATAATATTTTAAGCCACTGGATTAGTGAACATATACTGTGCTGAATAAAACTTGATCAAGATATTTCTTTTTTTTCCTATAGAAGATGTAGTTATCCATGAATTTGCTACTCTGTGTCTAGCACATATGGCTGTTGAATATACTACTAAAGTACAAATATTTGAGCAAGGTGGACTAGAACCACTTATCAGACTGCTAGGTAGCCCTGATCCTGATGTTAAGAAGAATTCAGTTGAATGTATCTACCTCCTGGTGCAGGTAAAGTTTGTTGTTATTGTTTTAAATTACAGAGGCAGATGAGTACTCTCCTGCCCAACCCCCACCATCTTCTGTGGGGTTAATAATTTTAAAAGATTTGGTTCCTTTACTCTCCAGCGTTCGTCAGTGTATTTGAAAACATTACACCGAAGTCCTTGATTGTTACATTAGTTATGAGTATAGCTAATTTGACTCTAATTCTGTTGAACTTAATGCAGTTATCCATGGTCTACAGCAATGTAAGTGAGATCAGAATCAGATTCAGATTTTTTTAATTAAATATGAATTTGTTTTCTTAGTTGGAAAATGTTAATCTTGGTAATGAGAGTTATAACCTGTCTATCCAGAAGATTGGAATAATCCTGTAAATTAAAAAACTAGCAGTTGCGTCGTGCCTTGTTTTGGCCAGCAAGTCCATAGTCACAATTTTGAACATCTTTTTGATGATAGGTGAATGCTGTCAACAGCTACTTTCCATACTGGGAGGAATAGATTTGTTATTGGTTACTTTCACACTCAGCACTAATGTCATCCATATGCTGCTTCGCAAAAGAATGGTGCGTTTGTATGGCAGTTCTCTTCCATGGCTTAAGCGAGTCAATTCAGTAATGAATTCAGTTTATAACTCTATCTCTTTTGGGGCATCAGAGCATGTCTATTCAGAATCACATTTTATTCTTTCTCCTTTTTTGCTATCTCACTGTCTTTGTTGCAGGGTATATCTGGATAACTGCACCTGGTGCTTGCTTATATTGATAAGGATAATTGCATGCTGCACACGTGCAATAAGCTATTTAAAAGCAAATTGTAATTTCTTTATTTTTTTCTATTTTAATGTATTCAACTACTGTCTTTTTATCAAGCTGCATATGCACTGTTTAAAGTTGAAATTTTAACTTGTCATTTTATAATTACGAAACCAAAAGAAGATATAACCAGGCAACCACAGTAGAGCGCGAAAACTATTTTCCCTCCACTGAGGTAAATAAGAATGCTGAAACTAAATTTAAAAAACTTTATCAAAGAAAGATGTATGTTGAAACAAACATGGCAAAAACAAGAGTAAATAGGCTTCCTTAGACTAGATTCTGTAGTGAGTACTTCAGTCATGCAAAAAAAAAATCGCAATTTAATGTTGCCGGGGCTTGATTGCATTCAGTTTGATTCTTAGCTGAAAAGAAAGAAATCTTCAGAACAGGAAGTTCTGGAATATTGACTCTTTTTTGTACATTTGAAATCAGATTTTTGGTGTTCTTTCTGTAAAGTCAGGAGTTGAGGTACTGTTACATTCTCTATCACTAACATTCTTTGTTGAATATTTTACTGCAGGATTTTCAAAGCTGTGCTGCAGTTCGTGCACTGAATGTAATTCCACCCTTGCTGGAGCTACTGAAATCTGAATACCCAGTTATTCAGTTGTTAGCCCTTAAAACCTTAGAAGTAATTAGCAAAGACAGAGAAACCAGGATAATACTGGGAGAAAATGAAGGATTAGATTGTCTTCTGAAGATACTGGAAACCAATGTACAGTTTACTTGCCTTAAAAGTTTTTTGTTCTTGCTGCCATTGTTGTATGACTAATGAGAAATATTATTCATATTATGGAAGAGTGATAAAAGAAGAAAGAGCTCCTTACTTGGAGTTAACTGACTAAAATAGGATAAGCTACGATATCTAGCTTACTAAGAAAGGGAGCAAAGGGATTCATCAAAATGTTTATATTTGTTTGATTGCTTTATTGCTATTAGTAATACTGTTTTGCATTTACTGTCCATTTCTCAAACTGTTGTAAGTACCAGAAAAATTCACCATATAGCTTTTTATATGATGTTTTCCCAAAATTTTTTATTATGTGCTGAACTCTGGTGCTGGTTCCTAGTTCGAACCCTGGTCTTTTTTTCTGAGTTTACTTTGATATCAATAGCCTTAAATAGAATTCCCTACCTTGGAAATGTTATTGTTTATCTTATAATAAGACTCATTTTAGTGCTTTTTGAGTTCACTTGTCACCATGGGAAATATTATGCATAGCAAAATTTGTGGAGTTTTTGAAGTTTTAAGATGACAGGTGCTTTCTGAACACCTGCCTACCCCATTTTGATATAAATGAGAAACTTCTGGAGTATGTACTGTTACTGATAAATTGTGCTGCATCCTAAGGCACATCAAAGAAATTATACAAAATGTATTAGTATGAAAAGGTGTACTTTGCAGTATAAATAAACTGTCCAAAAGAAAGTAATGACAATTATCCTACAAAGTTAAAAGTCAAAGATATTTTAATCCTGATTTGAAGGTGATTTGTTTGGGTTTTTTTTCCGTATTAGGAATTCAGCGATCTACACGTGGAAGCTCTTGCTGTGTTGGGAAATTGCCTGGAAGATGTGCATACTCTGCAGCTGATTCAGCAGACAGGAGGCCTTAAAAAGCTACTTGCATGTGTAGGAGTCTCTACTGTTCCCGATATTCAGAAGAATGCAGCAAAGGCAATTACCAAAGCGGCTTATGACTGTATGTGACTTTTTAAAAACCCATGCACGTGAATTTGATTATGAAGTAAATTTTCATCCAGAATGAGGCTGTCTTGTCTGGCTCAGGGTAGTCCTTGTGCTGAGGAAAACACTAGCAAGAACGAATTATAGCGATGAACCTTGGTAATCGGAGCAGCAACTGGATGCTAGGCTATATATATATAGGAAAATGTTACAGATTTTGCCTCAGTGTATTTTTAAATGTAATGTATTCTTGCAAAATGCTGTCCTCAAAAAGGCAAATGGATCTCTAAAGATATGATCTTTATCTTTTGTTTAGTGATGCCAGGTAACTGCCGTCTTAAGCCACCTCTGCTGGCACTATTTCTCATTGGTATTGGTTCAGACTTAATCGCAAGCTTACTTCCTTTTGCATACAACTGCTCGTCTAAATGTCAGGCAATTTCAAATACAAATTCCTTTAACAGGGACATGAAAAAAAGCCTTTTAAATGGCTTGCAGATTAATATTCCCAGTGGACTTAAGTAGTTTCATTGTAATCTTTTACAATTATTCATCCTGTAGTTCTTTTTTATATGCTTTTCTTTAATTCACAAAGGAATTCTGAATTAGACAGAACATGCTCATCACTTTTGCCCACAAGGATGCTCTTTAAATAAATCTACATTTGAAATTCCTTCCTTACATTGGTTTCTGAGTTGCAACATATGCCTAGTAGTGCCATATAACAAAATGCAATGTAAGAAATAACATACTTCTGCCTATAGAAGATTTTAATTCTGTCAAGGGATTTTGATGACAGCGACTATGACAGTAGAGCTTAAATATTTCATTCATATTTCTGTCATCTTGTGGTCAAATCATGGCTTTATGTGTATTTTAAGAATGTGTTATCTAATTTAATATATGGCTAAAATAATCTCTCCTTTCTACAGTATTTCAGACCTGCTTTCTTCTCTCCCTGTCTTAGCTTTCCAATTCTTTTCTCACCTTCCTTAGTTTGACGTCCTGAATATTTGTAATTATTTGGATTGCAAATGATACATGAAAAGAGTGGAACCTACCTTTCCTAGTCTTCTGTGGGTTTCTGTATGCTTTTATCATTATCTATTGGAAGCTTTGCAAGTCACTGAAAATTATTTTCATTAATGTTTAGGTATCAAACACAGGAAGGGACTTTCTTATGCCAGTATTTTCTTTGTGTATATTCCTGTATTGTTATTTTATTATGCTACTTAGGACTGTCAGTATCATTTTTATAGTCCTGTGACAGGCTTGTAAGTAGTATGCTAAACAGATTTATATTTGCTCCTACTACTTTCTACTGCGTCTTACTCCTTTTTCATATTTATTTTCAAATAAGCATAGCCTTCTTTTCCTCTTTCACACCTTTTTCAGTTTTTGTGGCCTAATATTTTAGCAGCTGCTAGTAGAAGCGTGTCTGAACACAACATTTTGAAAACATGGTGGCAAGAGCTACACATAATATATTACAGTGCTATGATCTTATATCATGGGATGTTACCGTCAGTGAAGATGCATCTTCTTGTCATACTTCTTTACAAATGGAGTCAGTGTGGTTTCATTATAAAGGTTTGTTCTCTTCTTCAGCATATGACGGCTGGTATGGATGCAGCAAGCTGGGAAAATAGATCAAAAGAAGATTTAAAATGTTTGCTTCCAAGCTGTAGAATTTTGGTGACAACCAGTTAGACAAAGGGCAACGTGTTGTACTGGTGCAGTGGAAAACAGAGTCCAGTAAACTTGCCGTTCAACATGGCACCTAGAAGTACTGTATTTATTTCGGATATATAGAGCTACTGGTCTAAAGTCGGCCTTCCAGTGGAAAAGAAAGTGGCATTGGGGCCACTGTAAGAAATAGTCCAAGTGTAAGAAAACAGAAATTTTTGCAGTTCTTATTTGTTTGTATCCTGGTTGTAAATATACCAAACAGCCTATCCGAACTGCAACACTGATGTATACTATACTAATACTTGCCTTGATGTAAATTCAATAGAATACAACACAGGTCTAAGTTCTTTTATGACTTTTTCATTAAATTTGCAGTAGCCATACAGTAGCCCACAGTCTTCAAGTTTGATAATTGTGGTTGCATTTCACAAATAGTTCCTGCATACTTGAGAAAAAAAAATACTGCTTTTAATTGAAATGAAAAATTTACTTCTGGTATGACAGAATGTGCATCTGTCTGGTTTTTTAATCCTGGCAGCTGAGTATACAGCAGTGTCTGGTTTTGAATTTATTATTGTTGACAGATCAAATTTAATTTTTTTCCTGATGGATGTGATCCTAGAAAACAGTTTTGGTTTATGCTCCTTTCAGCCCTTTGGAAAGGGAATCCTGCAACTTTTTGTTGTTATTTTTATAAGACAGATATATCCCTTAAGAGCTATTCTTAAGCTCCGAATAAATTTCATGGTACAAACACTATATTCAGTTTTAAATAGCATTTTATGATGCTGCTTTGTTTAAGTAAATTCATATTGATCATATTGCTATACATAATCATTATACTTTTGCCTCTGAAAATTTGTTTTGTTCTGTAACGTAATTTTGGATTTAATATATTAATTTATCAGTGGTTTTATTTTGTATGCTCAAATTTACAATGGAGAATTTTACTGTGATTCCCTCCTTGCCCAGCAAATAATGCAGTCATTTCAGAATGCATGATATAATTTAATACTATAAATTATTGAATATTTGTGAGTGGATTATCTGGACTGTTGTTTAAGGAGGGCCTGACTTTCCCCTGACAATGCCAGACATACCAGCAACAACAAAATGCTATGAAGTGTGTATGGGGAAGGTGATGATCATGCTCACTCGAGTTTGGCCTCAGCCTGCCAAACTTCTGGTTTGAAGCTCTCCCCATTCTTTACATGTACCTGGTTTGGAGCTCTCCCCATTCTTTACATGTATCTAAACGCAAATCTTTTCAAAAGGGAGCATATTAAACATACTCTGTAGCCTGATTAACATATGCTTTTCATAATACAGGTTTTTATTTATCTGGGTTATCGCTAGTAGAGATCAGTGAGAGGTCATGGTATTATTCGACATTATCTTTTATTCATTTGAAATTGGTAGAAATAATTCCATCAGGTGATGACAGCAAGCTGAACAGGTAATCAGTAGAACTCTGACCATGATTCTGGGTTAAGAAGGGGAAATAGGAAAATACATTGAAAAACAAATGTTGGCTCATGATTGGGTCAATGCATGGAAAACTGGACAGAAGTGTACTCCAGTCTGGAGTACAGACTTCTAGTTGGATGTGCATAAGCATTTTACTTCATGTTAAATCAATGTATTCAAATTACTCATGGGTCAAGAAATTAATCAGTGTAAATACGGTGTTGGCACTGACATAAGAAGTGCTTAAGTACAAAGGATGCTTTTCAATTGTACGTTCTTTTCTGTAGTAAAAACCAAAGGATAAAACTCATACAAACACAGAGAGGATCAGCAGAAAATAATAATCATAATAATAATCATCCCTTAGATAGAATTGGCACCAGGGTCTTAAAGTATTAATAATTTTCATCTATCTGTCAAACTAGATAAATATAAGTGCATACTGTTTACCGTAAATTCCAAGCCAAAATCTGTTTTTCCACATTACTGAAAAAGACTGTATTCTATTGAAAATATTTTAAATCACTATTTTTGCTCATTCAAATCAGTTAATAGTGTTATTTCACATAGGCATAAATTCTCTTTAAGTTGAAACGCTTACCCAAGATTGTAACTGCCTTGAAAAGCAAGAATAATTTTTAAGAAAATCTGTATGGTAATAAGTAACTTGCTGTACAAGAACCAAATTGCTGAGGCATGAAGAACCTCTGGAGATCATTATTAGGGATTATGGACTACTTTGGCAAGCAACAGGCCTGTGGCATACTGGATTACTTGTCAAAATGGCCTGTAATCCCAATTAAGGCCTTCTCTTGAGAGCTGGCTGATATACATCAAGGTTTTGGCCAAGGTTCTGCTGACGCTTAAAGTCCTACCCATCTTATTTGTTGCATCTTTTGCTTTGTGATTTCAAGTGTGTATCTCTGATGATTCTAGAAATATTTAAAATTGAGCTAGAGAGAAGACGGCTAGCCGTCTCATATACATGCATTGAGTCATTTCTGCCCTAACTTGATTTTCAATGAAACTTTCTTTTAATTGGATTTGTGGAATTATATTTGTTTACCTTTATTCACTACGGATTCAGTTTTATTTAAAAGAATACTTCTGATATTTTTTCTTTCCTTTTTAATTTTTTTATTTGTAAGACAGCAGTCCAAATAAGGGAACGATCCCTCAAAGCGTTAGTAAGCACTGGTAAGATTTCCAAATGTGTTGAAGTCCTTCTGACTTCTCAGTTCCTGAATTTCTTTGATACATTCAAGAATTTTACTATGTAGATACAACTTCAGCCATGCAATTAGTCTGCTTTAAATTATGTGTATTGTTAAATGTTTATTGACCCTTGGTATTGTTGAGCTTCTATGCTATCCAGTGCCTTTCTGGCTGAGGAAGTTTCACTCAGGGCTCTTTCTAACAAACACCTGCACTTCTGATCTCATCCATTTTGGGATGAGTTTAATATTATAATTTTTAACCCCTCATGGCAGGGGTGTTGGAACTAGATGATCGTTAAGGTCCCTTCCAACTCAAACCGTTCTATGGTTCATTGTATGAATTCAGATGTTTGTAGATACTTTGTAGATGCTCTGTGTTGTTACTTGTATAGAGGAAGGGAACATCTATGTCCTTCCTTAGCTGCTGCAGATCAGGGCAGTGTAGGTCAGCAGTGAACCTTATGTCACCAGGCTAAAACAGAAAGTTGAAATTCTTTGCAAAGTGTGCACTAATGAAGAATTGCAGGTTGTGCAGAATTTAAAATCCAATTTTTGACACCTCTTGCCTTTTTTTGGCTATTGTAGTATGTTAACTGGTACTCCACCAAGTTCAGTTGTACATTTACTAGTATGTTCTTCAATTTTAGGCATTTGGACTTTGTTAGCATAAACCAAAGTGAGCGTGATCCTGAGTAAGTATGATCTGTTGAACTGGAAAAGCTGTTTTCATCAAATCTGTATACATTCTAGGGTTTTAAGTCTTATAGAGAACAAAGTTTGCATTCTGTTGGGCTATGTATGTTTAGAGCTATATTTAATAGTCATCTTTTGGGCTCGATTCAGAGTTCACTGAAGTCTCATTGGTTTTGGATTGGGTCCTTTGTGCACATTTCTTTATTGCTGGTGGCTCTGTTACCAAAATATTTCCATTTCCATGGTATCAAAAGCAAGTGTTATTTTGGAAGCAACTATATGAAATCAAATTCATGTTCTTTCACTGATTTGGCATATGAATGAAGATTAATACTATTGTTCTTTTTCGTTTAAGCTGAAAATAGAAAAATTTTAAATGAGGAAGAGGTTGAGAAGTGTCTCATAAGCCTTTTGGAAGTTGATAATGATGAAGTTAAAGTTGCCGCTTCCCGAGCAATTTCTGCCATGTGTGAGAATTTAGCTAGCAAACGTGTGTTTGGACTGCAGGGTAAGTAAAGTGGGAAGGGATGAACTGAGAATCTATACTTTTCCTTTTATAAGGAACATACTATAATTTTTCAGATTGCCATGGTTTATTCAAAATTTCATGTATACAATTATTTCTATCAAAGGGATTTCCCAGCTAGTGCAGTTGCTAAGCAGTGACAATGAAGAGGTAAAAGAAGCTGCAGTGACAGCATTAGTTTATTTGACGGCAGACAGTCCTAGTAATGCAAGGTGAGTCTGCAATAATTAAATTATTATTTAAAACACTAATCTGAACACAAGTGGTAATATTTTTATTTTTAAAGAATGCCGCATCTTGTCCTTATCCTACAAGGCAGGTCTGTTTGAATTCGACAGTAAAGCACTTTTTGGTGCTTATGAGTCATCTGGAATAGGTTGGTTCTCATCAGTGTTACAAGAGTTACACTATCCCTACTAATGTTTGCTTTATCAAGGAAAAGTATGAAGCAGATGTAATGAAAGCAGAGATATAAATCACATTTTGAAGAGAACGTATGAAGAAAATACACCTTGTAATCTAAGACACTCAATGTGGGGTATTTTTTGAAAATTCAAAATCATTAAGGTATCCTTTAAAATTTGATGGTTCATGCAACTTCTTTAGATTATTTAAACCCAGTCTTTGAGCCAGATGGCACTCAGATATTCTGAATATTGTCACTGTCTTTTTTTATTGTTTCCCAGGTAATAGAGAATACTCATAGTGCATTCTCTAAAAGAAAAGAAGCATCGCTTCAGTATCCAAAATAACTAACAAAGGATGGTTAGCTGACTATAAGTTCCAAAATATTTGTATCAGCTAAATTCTAGTGTCAGTTGCAGAGTTCTGTTATCCCAACTCTATTAAAAGTTCTGTTCAGGGAAAAGAAACAGAACGGTCTGACGTATATGAGCTAACTAACAAACCATAAAATAAAATTCCTTAAAAGTTTCCTGGAATATACTCAAGGAAGTTGTAATCCATTCACAAGCATTCTTATAAGTGAAAAAGTAGAATAGCTCACCAAATAAATTATTTGTTTCAATTTATTAATTCAGTTCTAATAGTCACCAGTATTCACTTAATGTTACCAGATGGAGCCATAATTTGACACAAGAGAACAATACTCTGTTCTCAGATTCACATAGTAGATTTTTTTGTCTGATACTCTGCTCTCCTTATGTGCATGACTCTTCAGTTGGTGTCAGTGGGAGTCATACACACATAAAAAAAGAGCACAGTACTGGAGTCCAGGGGTCAAACTTTCAGCTCTGCTACAGCTGGTTTTCGTAGTGCAGCCCTTTGAGGTTTCACATTGTGAAAAGGGAATCTCTGGAGAGTTTTGAGTTGGTATAGCAGTTTTTGCCAACTCATTCAGGTTTTTTTTCTGAGGAGATAGTCAGGACATTGTTTAACTCAACTGCTGGAACAATTCTATGAGACCTCAGGCAGGGAAATAGTTGTCTCTGTTCCTCTGCATCATAATGGAGTCCGTATTTGTTTCTTGCTGGGCAGAGTCAGGAAATTGTAAAGGTGGTTTACATATACTTCTCTCTCTTTGCAGTCCAGCTCCAAGTACAATATGGAAGCACCAGATAATTTAATCGCAGGTCTTCTGTGAAAATCAGGAAGCAATAATTTACATTAAATATGTATATTAGATGAATGCCATGTGACTATATAATTACTTCAAAGCTTCATTTCTTAATCAAAACCATTAATAAGTCATAGAAAGGTCCAAGTGTGACTAGGATCTCTAAATGAATATATAGAGTTGAACCCTCCGCTCATGCAAATTTGTGTAGTTCCAGCTCACTGAGTATCTGGCCCATATTTATTTTACATTCACATAACAGGAAAAAAAATAGTTTGGAGAAAATGTATTCCAGATTTGAGTTACCATAATCATATTTCATTCTGGAATATTTTGTGTGTGTGTCTTGTAAACTGAAAATAAATGTATATATAATGAATATGCTGATATACTTTTATAATGATGTGACTTTGCTGGGTAATTATGTTGACAATATTCTGGTCCCAAATGAGACTAATGAGACTAGTGCCCTTTTATTGGTTATATATTAGATTCTTGTTATAAACCCTCCAAGAATATTAAATCGTAAAGCTAGTAGTAGCAGGTAGACCTTAAGTGGCAAGAACAAAATAGCTACAGTAAAGGGGAAGACTGTTTACTATAAATGCTTGCACTTTTTACCAGCCAGCCAAAAATTCAATCTTGTTGAACTCATATACATATGTTCTGCTATATTTCATTTCATGAGCATTTTTGCATGTATTATATTGATTGAAGAATGTGTACCTTGCTCTTTCATTTTACACAGTATATATTACAGAATGTAAACAAAGTACAAGACTGCTATTTTTGGTGGAGATTTGTTGTTTTTGTTAAGAATATTTGGTCAAGAAATGTCTGCTTTTCTTATAATACGGAAAAAAACAGAAGTTAAAACAAACTGTGTAAATAAGGCTCCCACAATAGCTAGCTCATACGGGTAAAGTCTTCCATTGATTAATAACACAAGAACAGCATAGGCAATGGGCAATACTACCCCCCACTAATGTGTATTAACCTTGACCTTTAGGTGCTTCCCCACATCAATGAAAGGCTAGTTCTATACCCCTACCCAATCAATCCTTTGTTTCTCAACTGAGACAGCTAATAAAGGTGTCAAATATGGTGGAGGTTTTGTAATTAGAACACCTGTTCACGATGAACGGGACAGAGACCAGCTTGTCATTTCACACAAGTCCCCAAGCAACCACGATTTGGGAAAAATAAATAAACTAGTGAATGACTCTGGCCCCCATAATATTTTAACCAAAGATCTAGAGCAGTACAGGACATGAGTCCCACACCAACGGCTGGAGTTTTCAGGTTTACTGGAAAACGTGAATTTTCAATATGATCCCTATCAGAATACATAAAAATTACTATAAATAACTTTTAAAATATTTGAGCATTTAAGCTTTTGCTGCAGAGCTGATGTTGTGTCATGCTTCAGTAGCACGTAGAAAAAAGTGCAGTGGTCAAATGCCTCACAAGTTTACAGATTGACACCCCCAGATGATGCTTATATCAGAATTTTGTTAGAAAGTAGTGGCAGAATTTTAATGCTGCTGTGTGCTGATGATAAATTCTTTGTAAACTTGTCAATAATTAGGCTAAATAGAAATAAATTGCAAAGTATACTGCAGTTTAAAATCCCATGTACTTATCCCAACATCCAATAAAGAAATTATTTTAGGATGTTACTATGCGTATAGCTCTGAGACCATGCTTGATATATGTGTCAGAATTTGTTTCTGTGGATCTGCTGCTGGGAAGAAGAGAATTATGTTCAGCTGTGTATTTGTATCCACGTTTTTTAATCCAGAACACTAACTTGCTTTATTGAAAATTGCATGCAGATATTTGGGCAGTAGAATGCCATTTTAAAGAATCTGTGAAATCTATCTGTTTTTGATGTGTCCCCGCATCGGGAAATGTAGGCACAGTCACGTCAATAATGTAGATTAGGCACAAATTGGAAAATTACACACAAACAAACAGCCAGCAGTGCCATCTATTGGACAGAAAAAGAAATTATTTTGTGCTACCCAGCTGACGACAGAACAAACGATTTACTCTGCCTATTTTTCCCTATTTAAAGTATAAACAATTACTTTCACTTTTCATGTATTTAGGATAAGCTAATTGTGTTAACTATAAGTATGATATTAGTTGGAAGTACCACACAGATATAAGATCTCAAGCGTACCCGTTAGTCAGATGTTAATTTGACCAGTTCTTTTCTTCAGTATTGTTGTAGTACAAATGCCATATCTAATAGCTGTCTTCATAAATCTGGCCACGTCTGAATTCTGGGCACTTAATGGAGTTACCACTAAAGAAAAACATATGCTCTGAAATTTAGAGCTTTGTACTGGACATGAAAACTAATTAACAGCCTCAATAATATTTGTCTTAAATTGTTTATTTTAAGTGCAAAATTTATGGTGTTTGGTTAGAGTTTGGTCTGGGGGAAGAAGGAAGGGGATTTTTTTTGTTCAGCTGTACTAAGGGTTGCAGGAAATTGTGGTACACGACAGACTTATGATCTGGCAGAATATGGCTCCTAGGGTTTATAATTAGTGTAATGTTATGTATTTCTTAGTATCACGTCTAGATTCAAGATAGTAAAATGTCATCCCAAAAATTGCAAACACGGCAAGCTTCATGTATTTAATTTTCTAATTCTTGAATTCCTCACAGCAATCAGTGGACCTATTTACATTAGCAAACTTATGTCCTTTTAGGTAGTTACAGGCATTATCACAGCATCTGAATGTGTGTCAAGATTTTCAAGATCTGGGAGTACGTTTGGGATAGGAAGGTAGTTTGGGAACTCATTGGTTACAGGCCAGTGCCCAGTGAGGATAAAGTGAGTTGTTCTCTTGAATTCAGTCAGGGTTGCATCTCTTCCAAACTGAAATTCATATACTGATCTAATGACCCAAAATACATCCTCAGTCTATTCCATGTGTATAATCCTCACCTGTAGTGAGAGTCTCTCACCTTCTTAAATGGATATTTTTCAGTATCCACAACAGATTTTTGTGGTTTTTAAGACGGGTATGGCTGTCAAGGAATAGATTTAAAGAATGTCTAGCTTTCTTACATTTCAAATTTTGTTATTATCATTAGGAAGTAATGATTATTGCAGTTAGGTGGTAATATCGCTAGATAGTAATCTCCCGCATTAGAAAATGGGAAACCTAGTCATAGCTTTTCAAGGCTGTAGATGGAACCTAATTCACATAAATGGATCAATATTGAAGCATTGGTATTATGTAAGGTGCATGAATATATGTGGTAATTTATGAGAACAGGAACAAAAATTTCTACTATGAGAGCTAAATTTAAAAACAGAAATAGGTCATAATCCATTGTATAGATTTTGTCTTCTATATGGTTTAATAGTTCTTCTTTGTAACGTAAGTTAGTGTTTCTGAAGAGAATCAAAAATAGAATGCCACTAGCTGTATTGTGTAAAGGTAATATGTCTTAACACTGACCCCTAGTGACAGAATTATATTTTTGAGCTAGTGTGCTGCAAGGTAAAGGGATTTTGTTGGGTTTTGTGGCTTGTGTTGTTATTTTTTACATTGGCGCCCATTCTGCTGAGCCCTAGACAAATACAAACAGTTAACTCATGCCATGAACAGATTC